GTGGCGGGGCCGGCGTGGGGTGGCCCCGTAGCGGCGAGAGCCTCCGGCCGCGCTGCGCCGGCTGCGATGAGGTAAGGACAAGCTGCTCCCTGACTGCGCTGGGGTCTTGGTGCAGGCTAATTCAGGGCTTCTTAACCTGCTGCTTAACCTGCCTGCCTACCTGTGCCCCCTGAGATGCCCTCTGGGAGCGGCATCCTTCTCGTGCTGATCACCAGGGCTTGCAGCTCTGGGGAACTGGAAGTGCCTAAAGAAAATGGGGTGAAACAGCATGGTGTTAATGACAGTCTCAGCTGGCGATGCTCTATCTATTTGAGAGCAACAATCCAGCTCTAGCTGTATTTAAAACCTGATGGTTTTATAGGACTTAATTGCAGCCCATGACTCAGTTGCTCCGGAGGTCCTGTGCCTTTTAATTACCTCTTCCTGAAGCCTGGCTTCCATGGCTGATAGCTTGGTGGGAGGCATGGGGTGGGCTCTCCCTGTTCCTGCCATGCTCTAGCTTGGTGGGATAGTGGAAATAAGCAACTGTGTGTCTGTCCCGTAGATCATCTTCTCAGAAGACTACCAGCAGGCAGAAGGGATGGCCTGGCACAAGAAGCACTTTGCCTGCCTGGAGTGCGAGACACTGCTGAGTGGCAAACCCTTCACTCTGGACAACACCAGCCTCCTGTGCATGACCTGCAGCAAAAGCAAACACCTCTGAGCAGGGAGCAGCCTGGGGCAAAGTGGGGTCCCTGAGGTCCCCGAACTGGGGTCATTTGACAAGTACATGAGAAGGGGAAGGTTAAAAAACAATTAAGAGCCTGACTATTCACTTGCAAGCAACTAAGCGCCCCCTTGCATCCAACACAGCTTTCAGGAGATCATTTCCTTGGGGAGGAAGCAAAAGGAACTCACGTGCCTGTGGGTGGGAGGTAAATGGTGTATCTGACTAGGAGGGACTGAAAGGAGGTTGTGTGTAGGGCTGGTTTTCTTATAAGTCTCTTCAAGCTTCTTACGACTATGATCTTGCAACAGGCTTTTGGAAATAACACATCTCAAAAGTCACTTTTTGCATACGAAACCTATGGCCATGGTCAAAACCAAGGGTTATTCATATTTTTGGAAATCCATACTGGAAGTTTAGACCAACAGGCTGCTGACAGCTGTACTAAAGCAAGGGGTTTGAGGAATTCGGTTAACCTGGGTGATCACTTTCTGAAAGCGAATGATACGAAATTGCAGCAACGTGTAGCTGTAGCTTTCTCCTCCTTAGCGTACAGTAATGTAAAAATAAGTTGGCATACAGGGAGATTGGTTTAACTTTGGAGAGATGGGAAGGGAGCAGCTCTGCCCCAGGCCAGGGCAGTGATTGCTCATTGCTTGTGAGCTTTAGCCCTGAAATGAGGAGCCCAGTTTTGTGTTCCCAGCCTCTCGCCTGCCTTCAACCTCCTGTTGCTGCAGGCAAGCATGTTTCCACAGAGCAGCATTGTCTTCTACTGCAGTGCTGGAGATCATTAAGCATTTAAAGCGTGGGCCTTTTATTTCAGCTGGGTTTGACCAGGAATTTTATAGAAAGCAGCTTTCCAGCCTAAGCTGTCTTGGGGGAGGATTGTGCCTGAAATGCTGCAGTGCCAGGTTTTGCCTGTAATATGTCATTGACCCCCTCCAAGCACCAAGGAACTGTACCTTCTCCTTGGAGCTGGCAGCACCCTTGCCCTGGGCTCTGCCCTGCTCCTTGTCCCACAACTCTCCCATCCCTAGGGAAGGTGCCTGTGACCTCCTGATCTGATAGGGGTGACACCATCCCAGGACCTGGCACTGAGTCTCTGCCGTTAGTATTTGTTCCCTACATCAAGCAATGCTTCTGGTAGTCACTGAAAATATCAGCTAGTCCAGGCTGGCAGATGTCTGTGTGCTCGGTCTTTTTTCTTGTATTAAACGTACATTATTTGCCAGAGAACTGGAATATGTTTTGCAGAGGTGAATGTGCAAGGAGCTTGCAATCGCTGGGTTTTCTTTCTGCTACAGAAGATGCTGTTTTCTCTTTAAAGCATGCTCCATGCTGTGGATGTTTGCTTGCTTATGATAAAATAACTTTCAAATGAGAGTTGGGGGGAACTGTACCTGCTGCAGGGTTGGAGCATTTGAGCTGTGGGGCACGAGTGCCTCTTAAGCCTTGTCCAGCCCTGTGCTGCTGTGTGGTTGCTATTCCTGGAAATGCTGGGGTATTTAAAGGGAGTAGATGCAATGGAGTAGAAACATCCCAAGGTGGCAGCCACAGCAGTAGCTGTGGGGTGATGGACGTGTGTTGCAGTGTGTCGTGGTGCTTGTGCTCCTGGGGTTGTTCGTCCATCTCGGGTTAATGAATGGATGTGCTGAGTGCGAGGGTTGGATGCTTCAAGTCGAGAGGATGCATAGACCTCAAGCAGTGCTAGGAATAATAAAGCTCCCTTGGATCAGCCTTGGGTACAGGCACTTTGGTTGTAAGTAAAGTGGGAATGAATGAAAAATAAAGCCCAGTGCTTATTAGCTTTATTGCCTCTTCTTCATTTTGTTTCAAGGAAAATGTTTTTACAGCTTTGTAAATTTTTTTTAAAGACACATTCTAAACCCTGTGATGTTAAAGCAGACAAAAGTGCATACACTCAGTGTAAGCAGTGATGGGAATAGTGTGAACCACCTATGAAAGGCTTTTCAGCACAGGCATTAACGTCTGAAACAGCATTCCCTAATGGAAAGTCAGTGTCCATTTGCAACACAGCTGGTTACCTCTTAAAGTGATCGCCTACAAGGTAGGTGCATGGCCATTGCACAGGTGCCTGCAAGGAAATTAAATGGAAAAAATAAAATCAACAAAACATCAAGTTTGTCAACGTGAAAGACTATTAACTAAACGGCTGCCATCACAGCATGCTGCAGTCTTCTCCCTGGGTGTTTTTTGTTTGTTCTGCCTCAGCTGGCTGCACAGTCCTTGCAGGAACTGTGATCAAATGAGCCCCTTCCACTGCAGCCAGGGTTAACAAACCAAGAGACTCAAAGGGAGGCAGTGGAGAAGAGGTGGCTCTTGTGTTCTCTGCTGAAGAAGAATGTGCGTGGTGGGAGCTTGGGTAAAGGTCAGAGCAGATGCATGGGGAAAGAATGGGAGCTTAGAGGGGAGTGCTGGCACCCCAGTGCAGCAGTGGGGCAGGAGGTGTAATGCCGAGACTGAAGCCTGCCTCCATGTCCAGCACTGTGTTGCTGTCCACCCTGAGGGTGAGGAACCCTCCGCTGTCCCCAGCCATTGATGTGGGGTTGTGAGGGCAGAGCTGGGTCATCCCACCACCCTCCTTGCAGTGGGATGGTCTCTGAATGAGATGGTCTGTCTTATGTACAAGGATTGTTCTCAACGGTATTACCTTGGTTGGGTTTATCCTGCTGTACTATGTCCGCAGTGTACACATGGCATCAACTTCTTGCACAGTCTATCTCCATGAACACAATCCTCTATCACTAACACCTTTATCTGGCTACTTTGAAAGAAGATGCCACTATAGCATGTTCTAGTTTGGGTTTTGATTTTTTGATCTATAAACTGTAAATTTTCTCTGAAGTTCCTGTTTCAGCATACACAGGCTTGCTTCAGGCTTCTTGGACTGCTGGCATCCACTCAAACTTTTCAGGTATTTCTGCAGCTTGTGAAATACTGTCTGCTAGAAAAATCACTGCAATTAAAAAGCTTAACAAAATCCTGGACCTCTCAAGTGTTAGGAGCAACTGCTTGAAATTAATGCATCTAATAGCTCAAACTGTATGTGATTCTTCACTTTTGATATTAAAATTGAAACTCAGCTTAACCATGAGGAGATATTTGTGCCAAGTACAGACATTGCACTGTGTTTTGCTATGGATTATCGTCTAGAATGAAGGAAGCTGCTGCAGCTGCCTTCTGTAGGTCATGATCTCTGGTTTTCAAGGAAGTTACATTTACAGAGGCGTGCTGGCCTGTCTAATACAGAACCATCAGTGAGCATATTGGGGTCTGTCCAGAAAATGAACAAAACCAGATATGTTTCACAGGGTTACATCATACAACAGGATAGACTGCGAGCAAAGACTGTTGTGTGACTATCTGAAAAGCATCTTGTGCCCCAGCTGTGTCCAGACATGGACGCTGCTCACTTCAAATGCTGCTGTGTGGCACAAAGGATGGCACAAGGCACTGGTGCGTGCTGGTCGGAGCAGTCCATAAGAGCTGAATGGGTGAGCTGAACATCTCACATGGTGGGTTTTTAATATCCATCTAATGCTTTCATGAAAGCATAGGGATAAAATGTCCAACGGTCAATTTATCACCATGTATTTCAGTAACTATTACCAGCATTTTAATTTGTGAATCTGCAAAGGACAAACATATTTATTTCCCACTGTCAATGGCCAAAGATGGTGAGCACAAAGCCTTTGTGCCTCCTATATGAACATTTAGCTCCAGTTTAAACTCAAATGTTCTGTATAATTGTTCTTGTCATACATTAAATATGACTGACAGTGCATGAAAATGTTCCTGAAACTGCAATTAAACTCTTCCTGGATATGAAAGTCTCCCAAGTCTTGCTTCAGTTCCCGTCCCAGTCTAAGGACAGGCGTGCTGCCCAAAGGAAAGGCAGCAGTGTGGGAGCTACAGTGGGGCAAGGGAGGAAGGTCAGAGATGCTGCTGCTTATGTAAAGCCACAGCCCAGGAGGGAGCCCTGCCTGCATAAGTGTGCATTTATTGTCAAGGAGCTGGCTGTGGGGCTCCTGGGAAAGCTTCCTGATTGACTTTGCAAAATCTGTGGATGCTTCTGTTGGGATAAAATTAACTCATTGCCCAGTGATGTTACTTCCTTGAGGTTAATTATTTAACAGGCTTAGTGAGTGCAGTTACCCCCAGAATTTCCTCACCATGGTCTGAGAGGGAAAGCACTTAGAAAACAAACTCTTTAGTGCAGGAGAAATGAGTATTGGTGTGTAGCAGCTCTGGCAGAGAGCACTGGCTGTGCCAGAGCCCTGGCCCTGGTCTGGAACCCACAGTCTGGCTTACACCAGCAGCCAAGGGGTGAGCCTCATGACCCAGCTGGGGTACAAGGGGCTGTGCTGAGCACAGGGGTCCTTCACTTGCTCCCCCCAACTGCAGGCACAGCCAAGATCACGGGGGGGGTGGGGGTGGAAGGAGGGCAAAACCCACCAGCAGAGAAAATAACCACTGACTGGGTGGAAACCACAGTTCAGTTTTGCAAGCTGAAGCTGTTCAAAGCTGAACTGATCTGAATCTACAAATATTTGCAGTGCTGTCCCATTTGTGGTCCTTTTTTTTTTTTTTTTAAGAAATATTTGCGGAAGAAGAAGGGACCGTCTGTTTGTGATCTGGGAGGATTTCAGCAGTGTAAAGGCAGAGGCTATTTAAGGACAGCACCTCCTTCAGATCACCTTCATTCTCCCAGGGTTCCCACAGCATCTGCCTTTGCTGCTGGACCATGCATCCCCTGGCACCAGAGGAGGAACTGGACCCAGCTGCAAGGGGGTCCCTGTGAGAAAGACAAGAAGTGAGCAGTCAATAGAGCGATGCCTTTATCCACCACAGCAAGGGCTCAAAGGAAGGGAGCCCTTTGCTTAAGTGAATACTGGCTCCTGGTTTATATTTGCAATATCTAGACTAGGATAATAAAATTTGAAATAAAATTTCTCAACTCAGATGAGTGGGAGAAA